TTATTTATTTTTAAAGATTTTATTTATTTATTTGAGAAAGAGTGAGAGAGCACAAGCAGGGGGAGCAGCAGAGAGAGAGGGAGAGGGAGAAGCAGACTCCCTGCTGAACAAAGATCCTGACATGGGCTTGATCCCAGAACCCTGGGATTATGACCTGAGCTGAAGGCAGATGCTTAACCAACTGAGCCACCCAGGCATCCCTATTTTTATTTTGAGATAAATGATAGTATGTAAAATAAAAAAGTGAAAGCTGTCCCTATTAGAAGATTTTTTTTCTCAAAAGTATTGCATATCTATATATGTTACTGTTTTTACTTAACAAAATATGATCATACTGTATGTACTATTCTGTTCCTTGCTTTTGTTCCTTATTTATTTATTTATTTTTTATTAAGTAATCTCTACTCCCATTGTGGGGCTCAAACTCAACCCCCAGATCAGGAGTTGCAGGCTCCACTGACTGAGCTTGCCAGGCGACCTGCTTTTGTTCGTTTTTAAATTATGCATTATTTTATCAATATATATGGTCTGAGGAAGAATACACAGTGGTATACCCACCATCCAACTTAGAGTACCTTGTTTTCATTTGTTATATATTGGAGATCTTCTGTAACTGCATATATAGATATAGCTCATTGTTTTTAATGCCTGCATAGTGTTCTGTTGAAACAAGGTAAAGAAATCACCTTTAATGGACATTTAGGTTATTTCCAGTCTCATTATGAACAGTGGTACATGAATCCTTTTAGACATGTCTTTTGTAAATATAGAATAGGGTAAATTAGAATCAGTGAAATGGTTTTGTCAGTGGGTATATGCATTTAACATTTTGATAAATAGTATCAAAGTACCCTCCAAAAAAGTTGTATACCTTTTTTTTTTAAGTTTATTTATTTAAGTAATCTCCTCACCCAATGTGGGTCTATACCCATTTCACGACCCTAAGATTAAGAGTCACGTGTCCTTCTGACTGAGCCAGCCAGGTGACCTAAATTTTTTTTTTTTAATTAAGTTTTTAATTTTAATTCCAGGGTAGTTAACATCCAGTGTTATATTAGTTTCAAGTCAGCATTAAAATTCTGTGGTATTTTCTTTGACTGTTTTTTGATGTATGTATTTCCGTATCTATAATGATAGCATATGTAAATTTAAAAAAAAAATCTTTTTTATTTGAGAGAGAGACAGAGCATGAGCTGAGGCAGGGGCAGATGGAGAGGGACAAGCAGGCTCCCTGCTGAGCAGGGAGCCCAAAGCAGGGCTCAATCCCAGTACCCCGAGATTATGACCTGAGCCAAAGTCAGACTCTTAGCATACTGACCCACCCAGGCACCCCAGCATATGTCAATTTTTTATTTCTATGATGTTTAGTCATTGAGTTCCTGCTTATGCCTGTGAAAATGGTTTGCTTTCTCCTTTTCAGAGAATTATTAATCATCTTGATAAAGTCTTTGGAATGGCTGTTTCCAGGAAACTTAGACTTAAAGACCATAACTTTTTAATCATGTTGATAAATAGCTTTCACTTACTCACTAATTTGTAATAGAAAATTTCTTTTTTATGGAGGCAATCTTTGAGGAGTTTAGAGGATTTAAAGTTGAGAATAATAACTGGGGAATTTTCCTTGTTAATTCATCTAGTTTCTAGTTTGAGGAAGAAAGTGGATTCATGTTAGCATCTTGCCTGAAATTAAAATGAGATTAGTTTATCATGTTTGAAGTCTGTCTGCTTTCTTAGTTGAAGATGATTTTCATTGTGATTTCATTTTGCTGGTATATTCGTGGGTATATTTAAAAGATATGTCCCGGCAATTGTTTCAATTTGGGAGCTATTATAAATAAAGCTACTATAAACACTCAAAAAAAAAAAAGGATGTGTGATCTAAATCTGGTCTAAATTGAGGAGTTTGTAAATACAGCTGTTTTTCCTTTTCCTTTTTTATAATTTGGAGAATTTTTTTGGAATGTCTCTGGAATAAAGTTGTTAATCTTTGTTTCCCTCTGTATCTCTCATTTTCCCCAAGAACTTTGATCAGAATAAGCTGGAAGAAGAAATGAGAAAGAGAAAAGAAAGAGTAGAAAAATGGCGAGAAGAGCAACGTAAAAAGGCCATGGAAAACATAGGGGAACTGAAAAAGGAAATTGAAGAGATGAAACAAGGGAAAAAATGGAGTTTAGAAGATGATGATGGTATATTCATTTGTTAGACTAATAGCCTATATAACAATTCATGTAGCATATTCTAGAAATATGAGTAATATTTCATGCTGGGAATTTTTAGGCTATTTTTTACTGTGGAAAATATACATAACATTTTAACCTTTTTTTTTTTTTTTAAGATTTTATTAGCGAGAGAGAGAGCATGAGCGGGGGGAGGGGCAGAGGGGAGAGAGAGAAGCAGACTCCCTCCTGAGCAGGGAGCCCAACACGGGGCTCGATCCCAGGGTCCCAGGATCGTGACCTGAGCCGAAGGTAGCTCAGGTGGCTCAGGAGCACGTGCCTTAACCGACTGAGTCACCCAGGCACTCCAACCATTTTTTTTTAATATATTTTTTAAAGATTTATTTATTTATTTATTTATTTATTTATTTGAGAGAGAGCATGAGTGTGCATGGGTAGGGGGAGGAACAGAGAGAAGGAGAGAGAATCTGACGCAGACTTAGCATGAAGCTGGACTCAGAGCTCAATCCCACAACTGCAAGATCATGATCTGAGCCAAAATCAAGAGTCAGTCGCTTAACTGATGGAGGCACCCAGGTGCCCAATATTTTTTTTTTTTTTTAAGATTTTATTTATTTATTTGACAGAGAGAGACAGCAAGAGAGGGAACACAAGCAGAGGGAGTGGGAGAGGGAGAAGCAGGCTTCCCGTGGAGCAGGGAGCCCGATGCGGGGCTCGATCCCAGGGTCCTGGGATCATGGCCCGAGCCGAAGGCAGACGCTTTAACGACTGAGCCACCCAGGTGCCCCCCCAGTATTTTTTTTAAAGATCTATCCATTTGAATGAGAGAGAGAGAGAGAGCGAGAGCGAGTGATCAGGGGGAGTGGCAGAGGGAGAGAGAAACTTCAAGTAGACTCCCCGTTGAGTGAGGAGCCTGACACAGGGCTGGATCCCAGGACCCTGAGATCATGACCTGAGCTGAAATCAAGAGTCAGGCGCTCAAGCGACCTAGCCACCCAGGAGCCCACATTTTAACCATTTTTAAGTGTACAGTTCTTTGGCATTACATACATTCATGGTGTTGTTCATCATCCGTCACCACTATCCATTTCTAGAATTTTTTCATCATTCCACACAGAAACTGTACACAATATAGATTTCTTTTTTTTTTTTTTTTTAATATTTATTTGTCAGAGGGAGAGCATGTGCGCACAAACACGGGAAGCCGCAGGCAGAGGGAGAAGCAGGTTCCCCATTGAGCAAGGAGCCCAATGTGGGACTCGATCCCAGGACCCTGGGATCATGACCTGAGCCAAAGGTAGCCACTTAACCGACTGAGCCACCAGGCATCCCCAGATTTCTTTTTTTTTTTTTTTTTTTTAAGATTTTTAAAAACTTAAGTAATTGCTATACCCAATGTAAGGCTTGAACCCACAACCCTGAGATCAAGAGTTGCATGGTCCACTGACTGATCCAACTAGGTGCCCCCTGTACCCAATAAAGATTACTCCCCATCCTGTCCTACTCTTCACCTCCTTATCCCTGGTAATTCTGTCAGTTTGCCTATTCCAGGTACCTTATATAAGTGCAATCATATCGTCTTTGTCCTTTTGCATCTGGGCTTATTTCACTCAGTATAATGTCCTCAGGGTTCTTCCATGTTGTGGCATGTATCACAGTTTCATTCCTTTTTTATGGCTGAGTCCATTTTGTGTTTACCTGTTTCTCTGTTGGCTATGTGGATTGTTTTACCCTTTGGCTGTTGTGAAAAATGCTGCTATGAATAATGTGCAAATATCTCTTTGAATACCTGCTTTTGGTTCTTTTGAATATTTACCTAGAAGTGGAATTGCTGGATTCGTATTGAGATATTCAATCTCTTGTAAATATATATGTTAATATGTAAATTATAGGGTACTGTTCAATAAGGATTACTGATTTTACCTTAGACTGGATAGTTGGGTTCTTATGGGCATAGTCAGTAAATAGCTTTTTAATTATTAAACTACAAATATTGTTAGTAATGAAGGTAAATTAAAAGCATGTTTTCAGGTCCCTCCTGATTTTTCATAACTCAGAAATATTTCCCTGCCATATGTGATTTTGACTTGAGGTTATAGTGAAGTAGATGAGTGTGAAATTTTATAGGAAACTGGAATTTTTTTCCATTTTTCTGTGAAAATTCGGTGAATTTTTCGGTTTTTGTGAAAGTTTCACAGAGTAGTTTAAATAGATGAAGGGATTGTATCTTTAAGGGGAAATGATGTCTTAGTTATATGAAAAAAAGATTGTCTTGAATTTAAAATATGAGTTTTTCCTCTGATTTTAAAAAAAGGTTGTTCTGGGACATCTGGGTGGCTCAGTTGGTTAAGTGTCTGCCTTCAACTCAGGTCATGATCCAAGGTCCTGGGATGGAGCCCCAAATTGGGCTCCCTGCTCAGATCCTGTGTCTCCTTCTCCCTGCTGCTCCCCCTGCTCATGCTCTTTCTCTCTGTCAAATAAATAAATAAATAAGATCTTTAAAACAATAAAAAACAAATAAAAAGTAACTGAAAGAAAAGAAACCTATCATTTAGGAGTTTTTTAGTCCTAGCTCTTTTCTTTCTTTTTTTTTTTTAAAGATTTTATTTATTTATTTGAGAGAGAGAATGAGAGAGAGAGAGCAGGAGAGGGGGGAGGGTCAGAGGGAGAAACAGACTCCCCGCCGAGCAGGGAGCCCGATGCGGGACTCGATCCTGGGACTCCAGGATCATGACCTGAGCCGAAGGCAGTCGCTTAACCAACTG